AATGGTAAACACTGAGATGTCTGACTCACTGGAAGGTCAGTCATCTCAACATTTTCCGGAAAGGATTTAAGATTTTTAAGAAAACTCCCAGCTGGGATCAGGCAATCTGATTTTTAATGTATATACTGATGCATGTGCAGATTAAAGTTAGTCATTTAATATGTGCAGGAGCCTTGAAATATGTATTCATAGGTCAGTTTCGTGGAGGCGTGGTCTGTGCACATAAACTGTCACAACGCTTTAAATCACAGACTGCAGCTGAAACTAAAGCCAGTTTGACAAGTCCAAGCCATCGTGATGTTATTCTGCCCTTAACGAAACATGATGAACTTAATTGGTCATAACTCAGAGACCATGAGACTCACTTGAAACGCAGTCGTCTGTAAACTAAATAAAGATTTGGGAATTTTTTTACATCATGTCTGTAATCAGACAATCTGCATTAGTCTAAATATGTATATGCATTTCGAAAAAGCAGATTTAGATGCAAATCATAATGTAAAAATAATTTTAACTATTATTAAAATAGTACATAGATGACTGTGTGTAATGGCAGAGCTTTAGTTCTCTTACTGTGTGAAAATGATGATATGTATGTGAGTCTTAATGTGCGTGTTTGTGTCTTTGTCTTTGGAGGAACACACAGCAAGCATTTGTCTTCTGTTAATGTGTCTATCTGTGTGTTTTCTGTTTGTGACAGTGTGTCTGTGTGTGTCTGTGTGTGTGAAGGGCATCCTCACCGACGCTGGAGCTGAGGTCTCCATTCTCGTCGGCCCCGTGGTGGTTGGCGTTGCCGTGGTAGCTGCTCATCGCTTCCAGCTTGATCTTCTTGACCTTCATGGCCTCTGCGATGGCTGCGTTGGCAGCTGCTGCTGCCGCCGCTGTCAGGCCTGGAGAGAGAGAGGAGAGGAGACGGAGCGCTTACAGAACGCTACATGTCTACTGGGGCCGAGCCACTGCCACCTGCAAAACCTTTCAGGCACCTGGCAAATAAAAAACTATATGAAAAAAAGAGGTTTGAGAGAATAATAAAAAAAAGAATAATTTTATTATGCAGAGTGAGCGGCGGTGAGATCACGGCTTGGTTTTTCATCCTCTGACAGGGGTGATCTTCACAGCAGGTTATCATCCGCGTGTGTGTGTGTGGAAACATGATTTTTATAAATGTTTCACCCTTGCCTCTGTATTGATGTATTTGTAACTTGATGGGAATAGATGCAGTCAAGATAACAGTGCATGATGTAAGCATTTTGTGCGTACAACCTATTATACACAGCGTATAAAATAGAGGCGTAGTGATACGATGTGACACGGCAGCGAAGGTTCAGAGGGGGGAGAAAATAAAACCAGGAAGCGAGATAGGTTGAACATGTGAACAAATACAGAGCCAGACCTATATCTTTAAAAAGCTTCTCAGTGAGTGTGTTTCAGTGATACATTCACACATATTCATCAGATCAAATCATCCTAAATAATGCCTATTACATTTCTTCACAGCTATATACTGAAGTGCTTCACAATAAGAGGCCTCTTGTGAGAGTCAAGGCCACGCAGAATGGAAAAACCAAACAATGAAGCAATGGTTCAAGTGTTTTATTCTTTCAAACTTGGAAGGGGCTTTGAGTTTATTCACTACTTAGAGAGCTGTGTGTAAAATGAACTGAGGAATATGATTCATGTACAAAAGGGAAATAAAAGATGGATGTGTGGAATTATGTGTCATCCCAGTACATTATCAAAAACACGTCTAGGACTTTAGAGGGAGGATATTAATGAGGAACTAGTGTGGTGGTGAGACTGGATATAAATAACACACTATATAATGTTTGCAACACTTTTAATAGATTACGAAAAAATAATCAATTAACCTGAAAAATAATCATATATAATCACATGCTGTATTCTTGGAATGTTTGGACTGTTAAAAAATAAAATATAACTTAAATATTTTTAAATCCCTTTCTGACAACAAGTCAAATATTTTTGAGAATTTAACTCATCTGTTTTTTTTAATGACTATTGACATCACATAAAATAATAATAATAATCATTCACTTTCCACTGCCACCCCTGAATATATGCTGCAGTAGCAATATTTTACATGGTTGTCCACCTTGATCAACATGGACTCCAGATGATTGATATAGTAAGTCTGAGATTATAGACATACATATGCTGAGCACACTGCAGAGATCATAAACCATTGGTTTGTCATTGTGCTAGTTCCGGGGTTCTGGTGTATTGAACGTGACTGAAATCTTTATTCATGAGGCTGGTCTCAAACAGCAGGGACAGATAGCGCTTAAAGCTCCTGTAGGCTCGCTGTGTCTCAGGAGAGCGCCGCGACTCTTCGTGCCAATCCTCGCAACAAAATCAAAGATGCATGGAAAGAAAAAAAAAAAAAAAAAAGAGATGTACCTATTAGTGGAATCACTCGTATCCACAACACACAGTATACAGTATCACCTGCCCTTTTACAGAGGCTGCTTACACTTGATATGCAGGTTTGCCTTACGTTTGATGCGGAACAAGGCAACGTCTGCGTTTATCATCACTAAGCTGTCACGTCTTCGTGATGGGACTCAAGAGCAGCTATTAGCCATGCAGTTGTGGGGAGACACAAGTACAAGGAGAGGTAGGAATCAAACATGTGGCTTTAATAGATACATGCGCGCACGAGAACGAGCGCGCGCTGACAAATCACGCACGCACACACGAGAACACGCCGGCCTGGGCACCCTCTCCTCTCATCCCCAGCTGATAGGCAGATGGCGAGAGTCACTCTGAGCCACTGACATGGAGGTGCATATAATTTAAAGCCTTGTTTGCATCTTAAAATACATCAGTACCATATTGACGTACAGTATACATCATGTCAACGAGGGGCCTCTCGTTTGCAATGGGCCCTGGCTGCTGTTCCATATGCATAGGCAGAGCAAGGGGGGGAAAAAAAAAAAAGCATTGCCTCATAAGAAGGTGATACTTTTCCACATAATGAATGTGGCCTCTGCCCAGTCTGAAGGTCAGCCTTCATTTGTGTATAATGGGCAAGAGTCAACTGTTTTCCAAATGAGACGTATGCAGAACAGACTGCCGAGTAAATATTGAAATCACCTCTGGGCTGTTTGTGTGATAAATTCCCCCCACAAATCAGGTGCCGCTCAAAGTGCTGCAGTGGTGCTCCCCGATGCTCTCTAACTTTGGCTGTGAGAACACTGTTGTTTATTGCACTGCAGCCTGACGGCCCCCTACATTTCTCTTTCTTCTCAAACTGGACTGATTCAAAAAAAAAAAAAAAAAATCCACAAAATGTTAAAGGCTGTTGTGTGAAACGATCGCAACCCAGCGTTTAACAAAGTGAGACACACACAAATTGAAATCTTTGTTCTGATAATTATTTCATTTCGCCGGATCAATTGTCATATCCACATAACACACCTCGATACAGTGGACCTAATGAGAAAGCCTTGGAGATGTTGGCGCCCGGCAACAAGTCTATTAAGCCACAAGAAGTCTGAACATCAACAAGACCGAACCCACTCAGCGCTAATCTGCATTCATTACTATGCAAACAAAACAATCCAGCCTCATATATTCTTTCAAAGTCACCTTTGGATTCCGACACTTTTCTCGTATAGACGAGCGGGCGAGTCGGAATCCTCCTGAGCACAAAACAAACAGCGCATCGCAGCCGCATGTAGAGAGCTGCACCAGTCAGAGGAGAAAACCAGGGAACATTTCAACAAATAGAGAATAGCATGGCACTGTCACATGGGGAGCACAAAACAGCAAATAACAGAGACAAGGTCTGATGGTAGCCCTTGGAGCAGCTGTCATATTAAATAATAATGAAGGATCTATTAATATGCAAAGGAAGCAGCAGCCGACTGGCTTAACGCTGTCATGCCTCTGCATATTGTCAGGATCTTCATCATTAATTAACATGCTAGCTGCCCCATACCTGCGCCAATGTCAGAACATTCTTACAACAAACAGCCCAATGCCTGTGCCCTCCGCAACTAACTCGTATAATTAAATTAAAATCAGATTAACTTCACATCAGTACACAAAAGACTGACTTTTATGACTTTCTCTCGCAGTGATTAAAAAAAAAAAACCCAGAGCTTATCTGTTGTGTTTCTGCTCCGTCTCTGTTTGGGACTTGCACCACGGGCAACAATGAAAACACACTTTATTTATCAGGCGAGCAGGATAAGCAGGGAGGAGAGACTCCATGTCAATGAGCATGGCCGCCCTCGTTTACTGCACGGACCGGTGGCGGCGCAGCGATGACAAACCGGGGTTGGGAACAACGTGACTCTTAGGTACGCTGCACCACTTGAACTGTGCTATCCACATCATGACAAATTTAGTATCAATTACAGAGCGCACTAACCTTATGACAAGCGGCGGACTGATAGAGGAGGGGTGAAGGCACAAAGAACAGGCGCTAAATTACCAGGTGCATACTGGATCTATTTTAAAGCAGATTGAAGTGGCACCAGATTAGATGATCCACTCCTGGAGCTGACGTGCTAATTGTGCATTAAAAGAACATAAATATTACAATATGTCTCCGCCTACTATAAAGCAGCAGGCACGGCTGTCCCCACACACACATGCATGTACAGTAAAGCAGAGGGGAAAATATTGTTTTTATCAGAAAGTACAGGATGCTCCCTGGTAAGATGTAGGTGACATTCATTTCTCTAATGGTGAATGCAGTACTCTTGCGTTATTCAAAAGGTGAAGCCATATCCAGGACATAAATGAATTATATTGAAGCTGCTGCTTAAGTAGTGGCCAGAGTGTGAGTGGAGGCCCCTCTCCACTTTAAAGGAGATGTCATCTCACTGTGGTGTCAGTCCACAGCAAATAATCCGATTTGAGGGCCAATCTGCCTGTAATGCATCAGCAACTGGAAAGGCTCCAGCGCAGCCCACCGACCCCCCCCAAACACACCCCCCACCCCACCCCCAAGGCATGAACGCAAAGCATGCACGCAGCATTCAGACACTCGCACATGTACACACGTGTCCTTTTCACACACATATGAGGGTATTTCCTTAAATGGAAGCCTAAGCATATTAAGATGTCCTCCTCTAAGTGGAACCGGTGTCAAGGGCAAAGATACATATGTTAACAATGTGTTTCACATAGGCTCCTCTGGTCCTGTTAGAGGAGTATGACACTATGTTGAATATAGTCATTGACTTTAATCTGATTTGTGTCCTTGTGTAAAATGTAAAGACATATTTTCTCATTGTTTTCATTATGAAATCACCAGAAGAAAAAAAAAAACCCAGGGTCTTAAATTGAAAAGATTAGATATTCATTTATTTTGACTTTTTGCAAAATTTGAGCTAGAGTTCCACTTCCTGAGTGATCGGAGGTTAAACTGTGCTGTGGATTTTTTCGGGGGGGGCATCTCTTAGTATCCCTAAAGCCCCAACATTCCCCCCGTGTGAAAAATGAACTAATGCGACATGACATGATAGCGTAACTATTTAAGACAGTTTCTCAATGTTGGGCTTTTTATCATCAATCAGTACATTTGGACATGACAGGACGATCAATTAGTTTGCCCACTTCCGTGCCATAACTCCTGTGTGGTCATTCATACTTAATTATAAATCTGTCAAAATCTGTAACTTCCTTGACGTTTAATGCTTAATGCCATCATCAAAACAATAAATGGTTTAATTATAACACGGAAATTGATGGATAAGTTCTGTCTCTGCACAGTTCGGAGGCTTAAGGCAGTTATGAGAAGACCAAAAAAAAAAAAAAACCTCAATTACTTTATCTCTGCCCCCTGAATACCCTGACTAAATGTCAAGATCATAGAGTCCCTCTGGGCTTAAAGGGGATGATATCAAAGGGCTTTTCTGTTGCTTTATGTTCCACTAAATAACACTGGCTCCTTCTCAACTCTGTCCTCCTCTGTGTTTCACTCAGGCCTTAAAGTTCGCCTCCCGAGCTGCGGCGGAGATTCTGAGCGACCTCACCCTATTCCCAGAGTTCAAAGCGGCACCCTGTGAACCTCCATTGTACTGAATCACAGGGACGGACCGAACCGGGTTTAAAATCGAATTTTTCAAACACCTCACCAACGCCGCTTTGCCGAGGAGAAAGAAAAAAGAACGATGGAAATAAACGCGTGAGGCGAGTTAATGACTTGTCTGTTAAAACACACCAAAGATCACCATGTAAAAACCAGCTGTGGTGTTTTTTTTATCTCTTTGTAGAAATACAAGAAGAACATTTAAGAGTTGGTTAAATACAATGTGCACTGTAGAGCGAGTGAGAATTCATAGAGCTTCTGTTTGACAGTACAATATCATTAAGTACATATCAAAAAGGAGAGCAAAACATGCAAATGAGAGCACTTACAGCCACCAACATCAAAGCAGTCACAATGCAGCCAGCCACAAATAGAACAAAAGCATTAGTTGCAATAAGACTCGGCCCGAGGCTAAGTTAGGGCACAAATGGTTGTTGTTGATTCTTGTGGCGATAAGCCTGCTTTAGCATCACCACTGCCTATGTACATATACCAGTGGAGTGGATTTAATCGCACTAATTAGAATGCACTTAAGGCAAAATGCAACATCTACTGGAATAATCTGAGAGAAAAGATCTCCACTTCAATTTATTCTCCCCCGTTTGGTCTGCGGGGGGGATGAGCGGAGGATCTGTTTTTGGTAAACGAGTGAGCTGCTGGTGTCTGGTGGTTGGGTGCATGTGTCACTTTGCACTGGTTGCCATTTCGAGGATAAGCTGCAGGGAGGCCACTACTCATAGGGAGGTTTTGAGTGTGAGTGTGTGTGTGTGTGTGTGTGTGTGTGTGTGAGACATAAAGGAGATAGAAGACACTCAGACAGAGTGAATCAGAGTGAGAGCGACAGAGCGCTACACAGATTTAACACTGAACCGTACCTGTGGGTGGCATCATGCCGGGGGACATGAGGCCGGGGACAGAGTGGGGCATGATGTGGGGGTTCTCTGGTGATGTCACACTCTGGGTCCTCTTCGGAGGCCGGCCAGGTCTGGAGCTAAAAGAGAGAGAGGAGGAGAAAGGAGGAAAATAAGGGTGAGAGACTGGCAGAGGGAGGAGGGGTTGTGTGGGTGTTGGCGGCGGTGGTGGTGGTGGTGGGTGGTGGGGGGGTGTTAACATTTGGAGCACTCCAGAATGCAATTCCATTCCAAAGAGCTAACATGTACTGTAAATAAATTTCTTTTCAAGGACAGTTGCTTTCTGCAGCTCAACATAATAGACTTCCATAACTAATTAGATTACACGGTGAATTCATTTCCTTTATTGAAGATCAACCACTTTTTGATGCATAATTCATAACCTGTACCTCGTTACCTGTTCCTCCGTATTAATATCCCCACACTATTTGAATTGCCTCGTTTGCATATGCTAAAATCCAGTGCGCGGCCCTCGGCCTGGAAATTACATGTTAACTTGTTATAATTATTGCAGTCAGGCCACTATTGATTTATGAGACTTTTAAAAACCAAATATGTGTAGTTCTGGTAATGAATGATATTTTAAGGTTCTTCAGGAAATTAAAAGGCAATGGCTGCCTTAGGAAATGTTCTGCTTGCTTGATTTAATGCGTGCCTTAGCTGGAAGGTGGTGTGACAGAGTGATTCAGACCTGTTGGACGGTTCTGATGGGGGAGTTTTATTACACCAAACGAGGGGCACAGATCCAGGCGTGATAAATGACTGTGCCACCTCACTGTGGAGGAGAAAAGGCCTCCAAAGCAGATACACCCCTGACTTTCCACACATCTTACTCCTTCACTTATTAATACAGCTTCGAGTTGCAATCAATACCTACTTTGCTGGCTTATAGTTACAACGAAAAGCCCACGGGGTGAAGAAAAAAAAAAGAAGAAATGCAATGAGCATGTAATGAGGGGGCCACGATCCTTTGGAGGTACATTCTTTATGAACAAGGAGCTGGATGTCGCAGCTGAAGATGAATTATGGTGACTTGACACAGGTGACATATTGGCTTCATACATTATTTCGCATACAATAGTCCATTTCAAGCTTAACCAGGACACTAAGTTCCCTCCGATGTGAACTTCAAGTCGTGAAGCTTCATCCGTCTTTAAAACACCAAAGGGTTTCCGTGCTGTAATTAAGGGAGGAAACATGAACAAATACGTTTTACGTAAAAAAAAGGACAGGGCCTGAAATCAAACCTGGGAGATATTTTTTTGGGCTCTAAGTAGAAGGCATTCAGGTTACTTATTATTCTGTTACAGCTTGAAAGGGTGTGTGAACATTATTGCACATTAATGTCACTGTCAAGTTAGTTACAAGGTGTGATTTTTATTTTGGTCTCGAACAAATTCTGTCTGTAAAAATGTCTGTTTGGAGAATTATCAAGCTTTCGCCACGATGCTCTGGTCCCTTGAATCATAAAAGATAAAAGCAGACTGTTATAAGTTCCTAATTTAATTTTTCAAATATTTTTTTAACATGATCAACGACTTATTTGATTTTAAACAAGTTCATATCCAGCATTTTTTTAATTAAATCAATAAATGTAACCTACTAAAAAGCTGATTCTCTTAAACAATAATTACTCATTCTGGACGTTATCAAGCAGTACAGTGCATGAGACTGTTTGTGTTACAGTACATTTCCCTACATTTCCCAAAGGCGTTATCTACAGGGGGCGAGGCAGTGTTTTAGCTCGGATACCGCGCCGCCTTAGTAGTGGAATTTATTCAGCCGTGTCTTGTGAGGTTTATTTACCTCAGTTCTGCTAATAGAGTGCAGCCGCTCTATCTGTCTGAATGTGCTGACTCCCTCATATGTACCAGCTCTGGAGGTTTTAGGACTAAAAGCAAACCTTCACTCAGCTGTGTCCCTTCGGATGAGGGGAAAACACACAAGTGATAGAAAGAAGTAAAGCGGGAGGGGGAGCGACGAGACAGAAGGTAGGAGGAGGGCAGCGAGAGTGAGAAGAGGGAGAGAGAGAGGGAGGGAGGGAGGGAGGGAGGGAGGAAGAGAGAGAGAGGGGCAGAAAGAGAAATGACTGCCCGCTCAACCCACAAACGTCTGGAAATGTAATTCCTATTTCTATAGAAGCCCCTCTTTGATCTTATGAGAGGGAGAGATCGCAGACAGTTTTGCTGTCATCACTTTCACTTGTACTCCGGCTGAATTATTTATGAAAGACCTCAATGGAGGGTATGTGATGGGTAAAAGGGTTTTTACCAACAATGCTAAAAGCACAAAAAAAAGTCCCCCGAATGGACAAAAAGGTGTCACATCAACCTCGGATCATGTCAGAGGATGTGAACCCAGGTGCAAAGACCCAGTTAAGTTAGGGTGAAGTTCACGTGGGCTGCAGGAGAAAGTGTCCGGGTGTTTAAAGGGGATCGTGTTTCTACTGCTCTCTGCACACAAATAACACTGCAGCCATGAAAACTCAGACAGAGTTTTAAAAGCATTAGACTCAGGAACCTCCAAGCAACAGGAAAGCCTCTAAGAAATTAACTTTATTTCTTCCCTCTCTTACAACTGAGGTGTTTACATTTAGAGAAATGGTGAAGAGGAGATGCTCCTGTGATCATCATCCTCTTTTCAAAGCCGTGTGATTCATGCAGTTTGGGCAGGATCCACCTAAACAATGTGTAATTTACTTCCTTGAAACGCTGCAGCTGAGGCACGGTGCTAACGCCTCCAAACAGCTCCGCGATGGTCAGAGCCATCCAGGCTAATAAGCTGGGTCCAGAGAGGAACTCAACCTGGCCTCAAACAAAAGAGCCAGGCTATTTATCAAGCAGCAGATGCTGATTCCCTAAATAGCCTGGCACAGAAACTGCTCCAAACTAGGCCATTATTGCAAGAAAAAAAAGAAAAGGAAAAAAGATAGCACAACTGGATTTATGATTGGAATTTTTTGTTCTTTTCATTTCTCATCCGGAGTTTGTTTTTTCTTAATTTCCTCCCTGGTTTTCTCTCCTCTGTGTTTCAAATGTCTCAGAAAATAAGAGGCTCCGAGGTTTTTAAATCAGACTTATTTGGACAATATTATCTCTGCATTGGAGGTCAATCATGAAAGAATCTAATTCCCTGCTTTATTTATATTTGTACTACAGATATTCAGGGCCCTGATATCTCTGGCTTCAATTAAGGAAACAAAACAGGACCCAGCAGCTTTGGGCTGGGGGCCACAAATATGTTACACATCTATTCTCTCTTTCTTGTTTTGCTGCCATGGTGAAAAGAAAATAGTGGTGAACTTTCCCTGAACCAGACTTCCTTTAATGGCCCCGGCCGTGTGTTGACCCAGCAGAGTCGGCTGGAACTTGATACTATCCAACACACTACGCTACACAGGCAATCAGATTACACGGGGCCCAACAATACACTACACACGAGTCCAGTTTCAGTGCTACAATGCAATAAAAGCCCAATAATTAAATTCACGTTCTCACCCCCGTTTACAGGAAGCCGACACACGAGGCGATAGGTAGAAGAGGTATAATAGCGCAGGAGATCTCAGGGAGGTTTCAGATCCCTCTGCGAAATTCTGACATCTCACTATCACGCTCTTTTCTGTCGACGGAAGCAGTGACTGAGATCTTATTACCCAGAGCGACGTTAATGCAGTGATTATGATCTGTTATAAATCAATTGAAGCCACAAATGTAATGTTTAGCCCAAGCGAGCGCACTCCCTTAGTGGATTTAGTTACACACAAAAATCATCCGCTCCTCCCATCTTCGGAATTCAACCCGATTGCATCAACGCCGATTCCAGTTTTGCAGGAGGGAGGAAAGAAAGAAAAAACAAAAAAATAGCATAATATTATTTCCTGCTGCTTGTGATTGAGCCATTAACCTTTTATCTCTGGCTTTTGTTTGACGTCCCTAAAAGGTAAGGATGAAGATATTTATTCCATTTCCGCCCAGTCGGCCAAAACAAGCGAGTGAATCATTCCGTCTGGGGCTTCTGTAAACAAAAGGCCTCTCCAGGTCTCTGCCAATCAGGCCTTATAAAATATTAACCCAATGTCATTGCCCTTTTAAAATCTCTCACCTAGAATTCCCTAATTGTTCCTTTTCTTTATCTCTCCACTGCAGAGAGTAAATAAATTAACAAAATAGCTTTTATCGCCCTGAGTAACCTTTTAACTGAAGGATTATCTGGGGTTTATTTTTCATTTCTCTCACAGCGATAGCGGAGCATGCCCCATTGATTGGTTTGCTGAGGTGGTGACCAGCCATGAAAACAAGGTCTTATTGATAAAACAAAGCAGCTCCTTACCTTTTAAGTGCCAGGTCAGGCAGAAATTCAGAGGCCTCAGACCATCAGGGGCTTCACTATATGCTGAGTTTATAGCTTTTTTTATTTTGGTTTAATCAAACTGTTTAACAATATGCACACAAATCCCCTGAGAGGTTAACTATGTCTGTTGCAAGACAAGGATAATGCACTGTTTTCCTACCTATTTAAATCCCTGCAGATGAGACAACAGATTTGTTTGAGAGACAAACAGTGAAATTTAAAACTTTCAGAAAATGTTTGTTTTCTTTGCTTTAAGGATAAAAACTGCCTCAGAGCTCTTTAAAGAAAACTGACATCCAATGTAGTGAAAATGAAGATATAAAGATTAGTGCTGATAACACACATAGCTGATTTGAATGAGATCACAGTTCCAGGTCTCCCTACTTCAGTTCCGCTATGGAGGAGAAACCATAGAAGGACAGATCACGACCCAGTGTCCATGCAAAGTATTTTTTATTAATTATTTACATCTTTCATTTTCAATTTATCTTATTTAACTTTTCACAATACTTAAGAAATAAAACTATATCAATAAGAAATTAATCTTTAAAGTAATTTTAAAGTAAAATTAATGAAAAATATGAGCTATTTTCTGGTTCCAGCTTCTTTTAAATGTGAGAAATTAATGCTTTTCTCTATTTTATGTCATCGACACTGAATATCTTTGGGTTTTTATCAGGTAAAACATCTGGAAAAGACACATCGGAGCTTACAACGTAAATAAACTACA